TGTAACATCGACGGTTCCTCAAAGTAGATTCTACGTCATTTTTTCAAAAGGCCGAGATAATCTGTGTTCCGTGATTTTCCGTACTTCGAGTGATTTCGTAAGGTGCCAGGCTTTAAACGACCCCCAAATTTAGATACATGGTGTTATAGACGGAAAATACCATAACTATGTTTTTGATATTTTTATTATAACTGCATCAAAAATGTAATTTTGGTCATCACAGAGTGTAGAAGTATGAGTCCGTCGCTTCGCTCTGGCCAATTATATTTCTTGTTATTTATATTCTAATATTTTATTTTATTTGCCAATAATAATTGATCAAGCAAAAAAAAACAATTGCTGAGGTATGAGCTAAAGGGCATGTGTTATTACTTCGAAAAAGAAATATTCAACCTCCTGTTCGAAGACATAATAAAAACCAGGTTAATGTAAAAAGTTTTTAGATCAGGGTGATGCAGATAAGGTAGCTGACCTTTGAAGTTGTAATACAAGCCAGGTTGATCTAGAAAATATTTTAGATCAGAGTGGTGCAGATAAGGTAGCTGACCTTTGAAGTTGTAATACAAGCCAGATTGATTTAGAAAATATTTCAAATCAAAATAATGTGGATGAGATAATTGAACTTCAGAGAAGTAGTGCAAGTTAGATTAACGTGAAAGTATTTCAGATCAAGATGATGCTAATAAGATAACTGACCATATGCAAGATTTTAACATTTCTACTCCTGCATCAAACAAAGTCGATTAAGAAAAAGGACTTGCATTACTACTGCAAAAAAACAAATAATCGATCTTCGTATATCAATATAGAAAGTAATAGTGATCAAAATGATGCAAATGAGATAACTAACTATGCACAAGAATCTGATACTTCTATTTCTTTAGATACACAAGATGATATTGATGAGATAGAATATAATACTTTAACACCTGCAGTTATAACATTGCTATTATCAAAAAAAGGTATTTAGTCTTCTGTTCGAAAATTTTATTATTATTTGTTATTTTTTATTTTTATTTTTATTTTATTTTTTTAAAAGTGAGGCCTGGCCTCAGTCTTTATTAAATAATTATGTATTAT